GAAAATACATCTTCCCAAAACTCTTTTAGATATTTACAAAGCAGACATTTTTTGCAATCCCACCTCTCAAATTTTCCAGAAGCTCCAGCTGCAAACTTACTGGACGAGCTCCTTAATTTGCAACTATCAGGCAAAGCTGTAATAAACTGTGCAGTGTAACCCCAGCTCCCGTTGTGGGCCTCAAGTCCACATGGGAGAAGGAGTTGGGTGTATCTGGGACTCGCACCGTCTGGGACTCACGCCGCGCCCGTCATTCCCTGTTACAATTCAAAGTAGTCCACAGGGCCCACTTATCTAAATCCAAACTAGCTAAGCTTTATCCCAGTTTAGACCCTCGCTGCAACAGGTGCGGGTCTGATGATGCCAATCTAACCCACATGTTTTGGACCTGCCCTGGCAAATTTTTGGGAGGAGGTTTCCTGCACTTCGAACAAGGCTACCGGCCTGAAACTAGCTCTCAACCCCCTACATGCTCTCTTTGGTACAGCGGGAGAGGGTGATTAGTATATTCCCAGAGCAAAGCGCAGGCTGCTGCCCTTTGGTTCCCTCTTGGCTAGGCGTGCCATTTTGATGAGGTGGAAGGCTGCTGCCCCGCCCTCCCATGTTCGGTGGCTTGCTGAGCTCATGTCGTGTCAAAGATCCACTGCTCCATCCAGAACCAAAAGGGCACATTCGATAAAATTTGGGTCTCTAAACTTCAACTTACGGATGTTCCAGCTGACTAACGGATCTGATGTCTGTCTGTGTTAACGGGAAAGCTCAGTGATGTTGCAGCTAACTTCTGTGTGGTTCTTGTGGACAGGCTTAGTTAATATCATAATCCCTCTGGCTTTGGTTATTTTGTTTTCTTTTCGTTGCTTGTTTGGTAAATAAGAGAGGAAAACGATGTTCTAACATGAGAAGTTCTGTTTTGTATTCATTGTAAAGAGTTTGTTGTCCGTCTTTTCTTTCTTTGTAAACTATATCCATAAATACTCTATAAAAATAAAAAAAGGGGAAAAACGTAAACGCTTGGCGGGTTCTGTGTGTACGAGCAGAATCGCTGTGACTGAAAACAGAAATTGAGATCTTTTGATCACAGAATCCTGATGTGCTGCCCCCTGTGGCTGCCTGCAGAGCTGCAGGTGTTCGCTCACTGCTGTGTGTGTGTGTGTGTGTGTGTGTGTGTGTGTGTGTGTTTCAGGTAGTGAAGCCGCTGTCAGTCATCTGCTCGTCTCCATCTTCCTCTTCCTCCTCACCCTCCTCTTCCTCATCACGGCTACCAGCAGCTGCTCACCTGCCGTCAGCCACACACGCGCAGACACGCTCAGGTAAGCAAACACTGCCCACCTCAGTTACCTCTCTCAGAGCTCTGCCCTGTTTAAGGCCCGAACCTGCTTTAATTGGCTCTGATTGGCTGCACCTCTAAAACAGGAAGTCTGAATATCAGGGGGAGGGACTTGTCACCTCTGAGAGCTTTAGCTGACACGAAGTCTGACAGTCTCATTGGTTCTCAGTAGGTTGCCTTACACTAACACGCTTTCTGGTTCCAGTTGCCATGACGATCCCAGCTGCTTCTTCCTGGTTGGTTAATGAGTTGGGTGAGCCTCTCTGCACTGTGGTAGCCCCGCCCCCTTATTCATATGACCCTAATGGAAGTGATTTACCAAGAGGTCAGAGGTCAAAAGCTTGTGTTTACAGTTTGTATCCATATGGATCAGTTTGATTTATATGTGTGTGTGTGTGTGTGTGTGTGTGTGTGTGTGTGTAGACTGCAGAGTCCTCCAGTATTACTTCAACTTGGGCGTCCAGGTAAGAGACACCTGAACAGTAAACGCAGTCTTTGAAGCGGCGCTGACAGGTGAAGGTGAGACGCCTGAATGACCTCGCGGAGCATCACAGGATGTTGATTCTGACAGTTTCAGTGGGAGAAACCGTTCGTTATCATCCAGGTGATCCTTCAGTCTCTGACTGCAGGTTTCCGACCTATAGCTCAGCTCCTCCACTGACAGATCTGTTCTAGCAGCAGAAGTCTGGGTGCACCTGAGTCACTTGCAGGTGTGGTAAACGTCTTTCTGATCACCTGGGTCCTGTGGAGGTCATGTGACTGGCGTTCCTCTCCTTTAACCTGCGGCTGCCGTTTCAAAGAGACACACGTTTCCTTCAGGTTCTTTGAATGTTTATAGATGATTCTGCAGGTGTTTCAGGTGATGACATGATGCTGTGAGTCATGTGACTGTCATGTGACCATCTGTCTCCTCAGTGGTACCATCAGAGCTGCTGGCAGCAACAGCAGCAGGTGTATCCCACCTCCTCACCTGAGACTGCCTACCCCTACCAGCCCTACACGCCATACCTGGGCCAGGAGCCCCCTCTGCACGGTAAGAGCGATCGGTTCCAGCAGGTGGTGCTGCACTTCCTCCACCTGTATACAAAAGATGCAAGTTTCATCTTTTAGCTGAGCCTCACTTCCGTAGTGAAGCCTTTCACAATAAAACAGTGCGATCAGGTAGGAGGCAGCTGTGGGGAACACATGACTAACAGGAAGATGTGTGCAGTGATGTCATTACAGCATGGATGGTCCCTCGGGTGTTTTCATTTAAGCTCCACCCCCTTTACTGTGACCTCCCATATTCCGTCCCCAGCTGCCTCCCAGCCGTTCTCTGAGACCGGGCGGATCTCCCATCAGCCCGCCAGCTCCTACCCAGAATCCTCCAGGTCTGCAGATGGACAGACAGAGGGACACAACGGCGGTCAGTACTAGTGACACACCTTTACCTTTGGAGTGCACACGCTGCTAAAACAGGAAGTGTTTGTCAATAAAACAGTGTAGAAGTGCCGGAGGTCAGCAGGTCTGTTGGTGAAGCTTTACAGCTGCATAACGGTGAGAGTGGCGATGAGGAGGGAAGGGTGGAGCAAACCCTACACCAGCTGTCACATGTACCGAATGACTACTGTATTGTTATTGAGGTGAAATTTGACCGGATGAACATAGCAAACAGGCGTGGCAACAGACAGGAAGTGCGGTGCAGTAACTCTGGAGTCAGGTGCAGTGTAAATGAAGGCTGTTAGTCATTGGTCAGGTCACATGATTCGTGTGCCTCCACATTAAAACCCAAATAAACGAATTTACTTTGAAAATAAAGGATGTGGTTTGTCTCCTCAGGTGTCTCCATGGAAAGCTCCTCCTCCATCAGTCCTACTCCTCCAGGCTCCGCCCCCTCCTCTGCTCTCCTCTACCCAGATCAGTCGCCCCTGCCTCCCCCTCTCCCACTGCTCCACCTGCCATATGAAGCTCCACCCCCAAGCACCTACCTGACTACAGCCCCTGCACCTCCTCTTCCACATCCCGCCCACCACCCTCACCACTCTTCCTACCACCCGTGCCTCCCTTCCTCTGTCCACTGGGGGCCAATATCGACTGGAGGCCACGCCCCACGACTCTACTGCCCTGCCCCCAACCCTTCTCACGTTGTTGGGTACATTGCTGCCCCGCCCCCTCACCACACAGCCACACACTACATCCCACCCACTATGTAACGTGCATATTAGCTCAAGGCTAAAACCCCTTTTGTTTTGAATTAGTGGTAATAATGGTAACATTATGGTAACATTGTTATGAACACTTTTCCTGCAGCAAGACTTTCAAAATAAAGCAGAAAAATTTAAGTTAGGATTTAAAGGTTGGCTGGATGTTAAATAGTGAGCGTTCCTTTTTGCTGTTGGTTAAATTCATGGTGTGACAGCCAATATGAGGTGGTGGGTGTGACCAGTCCCTATTGGTGGAGGGATCTCTTTGTGTTGATGTTTTGTTGTTTTGGGTGAATAAAGTTTGTTTCACCAGCAGATGGCGTTTTTGCTTCATCAGGTCACATGACTATTGTCCAGTTAACGGTCCCAAACATCAACTTCCTGTTTTTTATGCTTTGAGCAAACAGGAAGTAAAATAATAAAGCCAGAAAGGTGCGATTCTCCACAGGGCGTGAGAGGCGGGGATCAGAGGGGAGTTAGAGATGATAGGTCGTCATCTCTGGCGAGGGGGCAGCGCCTCAGTGTGTCAGTTTGAGCTCTCACCTGTGCAGGGTAGGGGTGAGTGTGATTAATAGCAGCAGAAAATTGGAGAGCTTTGGAGGCTGACTCTGATTTTCTGTTTCCATGGAAACTAAAATCAATAAAGGCATTTTTTTTCCATTACAGCTGCTGTGACACTGAAGTTCAGTAAGTAATCTGATTACACTGAGACACAGGTTGATGGATGTTTGAACGACTACTTTGTCCAGACCTGTGATGAGCAGCGAAGCCTGAGACGTGTGTGCTTATTTGTTTTGTTGATGGAACCATGAATTCTGCAGTTTACCATCCTGACGGCTTCGTGCTCTAAAACCCTCCAGTGTGACTGAATTACAACAACTCTGCACAGATTGTTTTCTAAAACAGCGAGAGAACAATGAGCAGAACAGCAAGCATAGCAAAATATTACCGTTTAATTTCAGTGTAACATACAGCCGCCTGATAACAGCACCACAGGTAGTTTGGAAGGTGTCCTTATTAACCCACCGGCAACAGTTGCCGTTTCAACCCCCACACATCAACAAAATTAAACATACAGTGAGTAGGACGAGT